GATCGACATGCGGTTTTCGATAAAACATTCTTTAAAATATTCTTCAAAACATGACGCCCTTCGTTTTTTCAGTTTTGAGACAGTTTTGCTGCAAAAAGTTAAATTTCTTTATTTCGCTGATCGCTTTTGTAGGCCGACGCTTCTGTCTCTGTAATTTTAGAAAATCCGCCAGGTTACATCCATTCGATACTATCGCGCATTGTCACGCAATACTGAGCACTATTTTAAGTGTGCGACCCATATAGATCTAGCCTCGTGTTTTCCTTTTTTACTTGGTGCTAAATTCGACTGTGATCCTTTCGTTTGATGCGCATCATCGCTTTTTCTGGACTCCTTTGCCAAATTCTTTTTCTTGCTACTGGGAACAACGTCAACAGTTCTTAGATTAGAATCTAGATCTAAATCTAGATAGCGCCTGACCATACCGAAAAGAAAACGACGTTCTACAGTTGGAACCCCTTGCGCTCGCAAAGGTCGAGGTGGTTTTGATCAACAACAAAATGGTGGGGACACTCTAGATCTAAATCTCCCAAAAGCATTCTTCTACAGTGTCAATTCATTTCAGTACGAGTGCTAGAGTGTACAACCACGAAAGCGGAATAGAGAATCAATCTATACATCTCTATATCTAGACCTTTTTATTTTCTGCATCTTTCAAGATTTATTGCTCCATTCCAGTAGAGTGTAAATATAGCAGGCCAATGACTTTAAGTTGATGTTAATGCACCGATCATTCCTTTCATCGAAATGGGGCCCAGCTATATATATATATATCGAGAGAAAGACAGAACAAGCGTGCGAGCAAACGAGAGAAAGAGAGAGAGAAGAAGAGAGAGAAAGAGAGAGAGAAGAAGAGAGAGAGAAAGAGAGAGAGAGAGAGAGAGAGAGAGAGAGAGAGAGAGAGAGAGAGAGAGAGAGAGAGAGTCAAAATAAGGAATGCCTCAGAGTATAACTTATCGTTAACTTTGGGAAATCCCATTTTCTTACTTTGCTGGAGCGCATTTTTCACAGTTGGCTGTCCCCCTTAGAGGCAGTTATCAATTATTCATTTTCGGTAGCACTGTTCACACTGTTGTGCACACCTGTGCGTTTGCTCACACGACGAGATGACGTAAAGGCCGTGTCTCTCTGTGACGTAGGTCCGAGGCTATTAGATATATCCCAAAGGGTATCGGTGTCTGGGGGTAAATAATTAAGCTCTTACCTGTCGAATGCACTTGACCTTAGTTTAGTTACCCCGTGGGGAGAGCTTTCATCGCGTATCTTCTTCCTCTAAGAGGTGAGTCAGATTCTACACAGAAGACAGACCCTGCTGAGCAAAATAAAATGTAGAAAAATATAATACTATGGCCATTTAAAAAGACACGAGACCTTATGAAAGAAGTGCTTGAAGGAAAGATGTGGGGCAGGAGAGCCAGAAGAAGGCAAAGAATAATGTGAATGGACAACATAAGAACATAGACTGGACTGGAATTGGCGGAATTTGCAACGGCACCTGGGGACCGTGAAAGATGGTGGGTCATTACACGTCAACCTCTGAGTCAGAGATGACACCTCCAGTATCCAGGATCTTCTTGCACATGCTGGGATGTTGAATCCTCCTCAGCCCAGGTTGGCCCTGACAAGCAAAGTCAAAGATTGTCTCCTAAATGATTTAAAGAGTGTCGATAGGACTGTAATACACAACAACAACAACCACAACAACAACAACAACAAAGGCATCTGCAACAACAACAACAACAACAAAAACAACAACAGCAACAACAAAAACAGAAACAAAAACAACAAACTGTCACCAACACCTCCTGTTCCCCACCTCAACAAGAGATTAGATGCTCTAACAGTCTCAGAAAAAAGCTACCTTTTTCTGATCTTTTGCCCTCACCTAAATTTGTTTAGGCTCACCAACTGGTTGCTGGGTGGTCCGATGCGGATTTGTTGCCCTTTTCTATCAAACATCCTTCGTCCTTATCTCTCCTCCTTCTTTTTGTGTTTGTTTCTCTTTTGTAACACTTCTAATCTTCGGCACTCATATGACCTTAATATTTTACAAGAGACGTAAAACACTGTTACTTAAAAAAAAAAAAATTTTTAAACCCACCTAACCACACCCTGTGCATATTCCTTTTGTTTCAGGGAAGGTAGCCTTTTGGTCAATTTTCGACTCCTCTTCAATTCCACGACCACAGACAAAGATACACTGCGGTGGGAAGTGTACAGGATCATCGAAGACGGGACAAGCAAGCACTACCTGGGCTCTCTCATCTATGTCCTGGTTACTCACTTCTTAGTGGACATTCGAGCCAACTGGAACAGACCTTTCGGTGAGCTGCTGACGTTCAGGGTGTGCAGACAATTAGATGTAAACTTGACTTTGTTGTTGTTGTTGTTGT